CCCTGCCCTCAGGGGCTCTAAAGAGGGCTTCAGCCACAGGGAGAAAATGGTGATCTAATAGGCTCTTGTGGAGGAACATTGGATGCCCAGGGAAGGCTTCCCCTAGGAGGGGACATTTGAGCAGAGCCCTGAGTCCACAAGCCCCTCCCAGAAAGGGCAGGAGACAGTTGCATGGGGATCTGCGGCCAGTGGAGACACAGTCTGCCTAGGAGCAAGGGGTGGCCATCTCCAGCCATGGCACCTGGAGCCAAGAGGAAGGGAGGTCAGGCCCCGAGTCAGGTGACCTTAGGATGGAGGAACCCAAGGGCTCAGGCCTAGGAGGCAGAGGAGTGTGTGTCATTGTCCCCATCCTCCCCAGGATGTCAAGTCTTCTATCCCCATTGTGAGGGTAAGTCTAGTGTCCCTGCGTGCTCAGCCATTGGTGAGGGGTACCCCAAATGCCTGTCTGGAGACCTGGATCTCCTCTCAAGGAGACAGGCTTGAATGATTGTCACTGGGCACAGAAAAATCTTTTGCGTCTGGTTCTGATGCTGGAGGTGGCCCCGCAAACATGCCTGGGGGCCAGGCTCCTTGGCAGTTCAGCTACAAGCCCCCCAGTAGCAGCTGTGGGCATGCCAGGCACCTCACAGTCCTTCCTGCAGGCTCAGGGCAGCATATATCCCTGTAAGAGAATAAGCGGGCAGAATTGGAGGGCATGACCTGCAGGCTTCATATCCCAAGTCACCGGCCACCTCCGGTGCTGCTTCCCAAGACCCCAGGTGAACATTCTCTCCAGAGCCTGACCCTCCCCAGGCCTTCAAGGAGGGCTGGGCCCAGTGCAAGTCTACATAGTCAAGTTTGAGCTGGGTCTGAGCCAGGTCCAGACAGACCCTGTGTGCAAAGCAATGGGCCTCTCTTTCTCCCCAGGGTCGTGACCAAACCTGGGGCCCCCAGGCTTACCTGGGAGCTGGTTTCAAAGGTCCTCTCCAAACCACGGCTTTTCTGAGTCTGGGGCCTCTGCCCTCACCTATCCAGCCATGACCCTGATGGAGAGCTTGGGGGATGATGCCATGATGGCTGAGCTCTGCACTTGTGCCTAATTGCTGGGAAGTGGAGTGAGGCAGCAAGCCTCCCTGCCCCCAGGCGCTGTGGGTGGGTGGTGGGCTGGGCCTGACTGATGCCCTTTCATCATTGCACTGCCTGCCAGTGGCCCACAGTAGTGCAACAGGGAAAGAGTGTCGGGCAGGCCTGCTAGCGCCTCTCCTGGTGGTCGGTGGTGGTGGGGCTCTGAGACCTGGAATGCAGGCCCACTAGGGCGGGGCCTCTGCCTGGGGGAAGGGTGCCCTCTGACCCCAGAGGCCCAGGCCTGGCCAGGATCTCAAGTTTCCATGGAGAAGTGAGCAAGCTGGGCAGGGGGGAGGGGAGGGACCTGGCCTGGGGAGGGGAACTGGTAGTGTGGGGGAGTGGGGGGTCCCTCAAGGCTGGTCCCAGATGCTTTGACAATATCATTGCACTGCTTCTCGAAGCACAGTAGTGCAACCTCGTCAGAGCACCTGCGGCTAGCAGGGGGAACCCCCCCACAGCCCCCAATACACCCAGAAAGAGAAGTTCAACGGTGAGTTGTGTAGGGCAAGGGGTCCATTCCTAGACATCAGAGTGGAGAGAGGGATTTCAGCGGAGCTGCGGTCCTCGGGGTCCTTAGGACCTCAGGGCAGCCGGACCGTCCCCAGCAC